TTGTCTCGTATTTAATCGTGTCTTAATATATTTGACACTGGCGTGACGTGTAGATTCGACGCTCGGTACGTTGCTTAAAATATTTTACGAGATGCGTTTGATCGAATCTGTCGCGCGAACAGTCAAGAGAGCGACGTTCATATTTTCCGGATATCGCGTTCCGCGAACATTTTTATTCTTATGACTTTAACCCGTACGCTTCATCTGTTTTATAACGTGCGAATCTAATCACCGCGGCGATTTGTCGCGAAATCACACGCATTTCCTGCATCGATTTTCCGTCCGAATGTAATACAGTTTGAGTCGTGCAAATGATTGACGTCGGGACGTTGGGAGTGCCGTATACGCAGCAATCATATAATAGTTAATTGTGTTCTAGCAAGCGCTGTAAATGAGCGGCCGCGGAGGAAGGAGGAGGAGGCCCAGGGAGGCATCGAACGACGGCGAAGCAACCGCACGAGGTGAGCAATTAATTTGTTACTTATTTTATTAGTTACTGAATTTAAACGGTTTTCCTCGTGAGAATCACACGATTACAACGAGTATTCCACGCACTAATTATATAGTAATATTACGTAACATTATAGCTTATAAAATGTATTACATATTTTTTACATTTGAGAGGCTTAAAATATTTAATAAAATATTTATATAAAATTCAACATACACGTAATATTTTACACCATTTAAAAAGTTATAAGTATTTAAATTATAAATACGCAAGAATTAAAGATTCTATTTATCAAATTTTTTAAAGTTTTTATATAAAAAGATTTTGTGTAGAGTTACGTAATTTTTTAAATAAATATTTAATTAAAAGCCAGAAAACTACAAAAGATTAAGAATTTATGAAAAGAGATGAAGAATAAGAAGTTATATAAATGCATGTAATAATTATTTTTGTAAAATATTGAAACTTAAAATATTAGATATTTATTAGATATTAATTAATTATTAATTTAGATATTTATTTAAATATATATTTATATTTTACAGATTAGTGTTGCATACGAGTACAACTCTATTACTGGTCGCACTGCATCGCACTGGTAAGTGCACTTAATTATATCCAATCTTAATCTCAAAATTAAATAATTTTATATTTGCTAAAAATCTTATAATCCTATCTGTGCATACAAAGCTTGACAAGAAATGTAAAAATATCTTTATTAAGTTTGAAACAATTTATCAAAATATAAGACTTAAATTTTAACATGGTCTGGTTGTAAAATATTTTATATTTTTTTCAATTTTTCCTATACCTGTTTTATATTTATACAGATAATGATGCATTTTTATTTCACACAGATATGTGCAATGTACAATATAAAAATATCTTTTTCTTATCTAGTCTTCCAGGCTATTAAGATACGCAAACCATGAAGATATTTAAAAAGTGTATATTCTGAAAGCATTAATAAACTTTTTTTAGTTTTATTTTATTTCTTTCTCTTTTTCCGCATTTTTCGTTGTTTATTAATACTTTAAAATTTAATTAATTATGATGTATTTTAATATTCTAAAACTATTCTATATCATATCCTCAGGGTGTTCTTATTAGAGTTTATAAAAATTTTAATGTGTGCCAAAAAAGCTTGACAATAAGTATATAGCGATAACGTCTTTATTAAGCTTTGAACATAATTTTTCACAACACCTCCACGGAAAGTTCGACTTTCCATGTTTGTAGAGAGGGACGAAAGTGGCCATTTTCACGCCAGGGAGGAAAGTTGTTACTTTCCTCCCGCCAAACAAGGACGAAAGTGGTCACTTTCCTTCCTAGGGCAGAAAGTAAAGTAACGGACAAATAGGAAGCTTTCTAGCAAGTGACAAGTCGACACAAGTGTCGTTTTGTCTTTGTTACTCATTGCCAAAAAAGAAAGATACAACGACGTTTGTGTCGATTTGTGTCGCTTGCTGGCTGTATCATGACTGAAGATACATCTGAATCACCATCTAAAATACAAAATAGAGGAAATAATCCAATCTTTTAATTCCAAAATTGTAGTGTAAATATTAAATTCACTAATTAATGCTTATTCTTTGTAAAAATTATATTTTTTAATTATATTCTAAAAATTAATGACGATGATATGAGTCAAGCGCGGTACGTGGCAAATAGAGAATTAATATAGTTACAGAAGTAACGAATTAAAATGTATATACGTATATACATATATTCCAACTTAATAAATTGCGCGCCGATTATTTGTCGGACTTGAAACACAGCTATCGTTGGAACATTAATATTTTTCACAATAATTTCTTTACAGTTTTTTATATAATTAAATCGTGTAGATTTAATTCCGGGGAGGGAAGGGTATTAATGTTCCAACGATAGCTGTGTTTCAAGTCCGACAAATAATCAGCGCGCAGTTTATTGCGCCCATCGTGTGCTACTTTCGCCCCTTGGTGCACAATATACTATAATCGATTCGATTATTTTTATGTTACAGAAAATATCCACGCGCGGGAAGGAGTATCTTCGCATTTACCCAAGCAAAACTCTTCTTCTGCTTGGGTAAAAATTCAAAGACGGGGAAGCTAACGTACTCTCGACCGCCGAATTAATTGAATAAACGAACCGCAGCCGGTTCGTCGCGTTTGCTTCGGGAGTGCCGTTCAAGTAATCGGACTAAAGGACTTTTTTTTAAACGGGAGTTCCGTACAGTATCGCGCGAGAAAGACTTTTAATGAAATTAGTCCGCGCGCGATTGTAGTTTATTATCCGCGAGTGTTTCTCGCGAGTGTCCTGTGCGGTGAGAGGAGGAAGCCTGACGTCCTGAGAGGAGGAGGAGGTCTGGAGAAAGACATCGGGCACCGACGGAGCAACCTTGGGGTAAGTATCATCTCTTAGCTACGTAAAATTAATAATTTGTCTCCATTTATTCGAATTGTTTTATTTAAATTTTGATAAGTTAAAAGTAATTAAAAAGAAAGAGAAGTTATCTAAAATGTTATTCTTGCAAAGATCTTTTTCGATAAACAGATAATTGTATTGCTAAATATTTTATTGAAAGACGAATTAGAGACGCGTAAGAATCAACTTTTCAAATGTTAATAATTTTGAGCGGTTTTTTAATTTAAATCTTCTGTTTGTATGTTACAGTGTCACCGTAGCTACGTGGCTGCATGCATAACTCCGCCCGTTGCGCATCGAATCGGTGAGTCAATGAGAAATTTTTTTATTGAGAAATTTTTTGATTTTTATATACATATATCATTTATGTTTTGTGCTTTATATGTAAGTAATTAGTAACAATTTATTGAAAAATCTAAAATGAGATAGTATAATATATATCACAAAAATGTGATAAACTAAAAAAGAAAAATATTCTCAAGAGTGTTTAACTTTTGGCTGATATCCTAAGTTTGTTAAATCCTTTGTCATAATTGCTACAGCTTCCGAAGAAATAGATTTAAGGGGTGCACGAGGTAGTCCTACATCAATGTCAGTAAGAAGAGCCATTGCTACTTTCATAGTTTGCACCCAATTACCTACAAATAATCATTTTTCGTAACTGCTTTCGCGTAAAGTGCTCCATCATACGTAAAAATAGTATTTACCATGTTTTGTTATAGCAACTACAGCACTTGAAAGCTTCTCTTGCATATCTTTAGCTTTTAATATATCTCCGTTCTTGCAAACAGCAAGAAGATTCAATATAAATTCCGGAAACATGTTTATACCGGTTACTATGAATGAATCCATCCCTAATGCAGACGCGGCGTTTATTAACTAGAAAATCAGATCACGATATATTATATTTCTATATTACATTGAAATAAAAGAACACAAACCAGGTAGAAAATAAGACAAAATATAGCCAGTAACTAATTAATATCTGGCCTAGTATCTAGTTACTAGCAATTTCTGATTTATTTTCTACACAAGAAGCGTCAGCTTCTTATGCTAAACCTTACGAGCTAACTATTATTTTATTACCTGATCATTGCCAAGGAAAATAACATATTTCTCATTATCAGCACGTAGTGCTTGTGCTCCTTCCTCTAAGTTGGCGCTAGTAAATTTTATACCCACGAACGAGGGTATTTTATCACCAATCGATTCAAGGAATTGTCCCATGTGTACTGCAAAATGTTTATGCATGATAATTATGGTGCAGCAATACGTGTATACATAACGAAATATCAATCTTATCAATCATGCCAGTTGATTATATCCAGTATGCGTATATTAAAATGCCGAAAGGAGACTTACTGTTAACATTAGTTAACATAGGAATATGGTAGTACAGTAACGGTGTCTTTGGCGCTGCCTTGCCAACTATTTCCAAATATTCAATTAGTTGTTGGGGGGTAGTAGGCTTGAAGTACAATTCTGGTAAGCAGAGCATAGAATCCACGTTCAAACTACTTGCGTGCTT